TGAGCGCACCCGCTCACGTGCGCCCGCTCGGCGCTGCGGCTCTCATGCGCTCGTCCCAATTTGTGGGACAACGTGTATCAGTGGGTGTGTCGGCTCAACAAGCTCTAAGGCTGATGATGTTTGCAGGCGCGTTTATGCCGGCTACTAAATTTTTGCGCGCTTGGGCGGGGTGGGGGCCAGATTCCAAGCCGAATTGCGCTAAACGCACGAGCCTCCAGAGTCCTGTAACCAAAAACAAGCCCAAACTACTGGTTCCCGCTAGGCAAACATTCTTTTTGAAGCAACGCAAGGCCAAGTTGCCACCAAGAATACGGGTATTGAATCCCATGAGAATGCACCAAGTTTGCACAGCGACGGCCCGCAATGTATGGGCCGCGCGGTGCCAACCTCTGTTCAGCGTGTAGAGTTAGTGACGACAGTGCATGCAAACGAATCAGTGTCTTCGGCGTTGACGCAGTTGGACAGCAGTGGCAGTGTATTTTGCAACTGGGAGCATCCGTCCGGTTGACGTGTGCTGTTGATTCGTGTGCTGCTGATTTGTGAAGAAATACGCACACGGCCCAATAGCCCTTTGAATGAGAAAAGTCACCCAGGGGGCCGAATGGAATATTGATCAGCCCCCATATCCTACCGAAAGTTTAGCTGGTAACAAAGGATCAAACATGAATCGGTTATTTGCAAACTTGCAGCGCTTCGTGTTGTATCCAGGTTCAGTATGTGACAATGCGAAACACTAGCGTTGTGAATGTAGTTTGTGTGATTCATTGGATTTCCCTTCGGTTCACCAAACCTGGGTCCGGTATTTGGTAGCCATGTCACGATTTTGTTGGTGGTCCTGTTGATGCAAATGCCGTCACTTGGGGCAGGTAGCTGACAAATGTACAAGCTTGTTTCAGCACATTAATCTGCTATAACCACATGTGCTTGCACAGCATGTTTTTTGTTGCTTTTGGGTATGACCGACCTGTTCTGTCTCCCTCACATGGCTTGAGGCTACAAGCCGCAATTTTGCCGGCTCCGCGATACAGCATTGATGATGATTTTGGCTTCAGGCATGCTGCTTCGGTGACTAGTTCAAACATTTGTCAGCCTTTTGTCAGCACAAACCGGTAGGTGTGTAGCAGTGAGTAGCAGTGTGTTTCTTTTGGTGAACATTTGTTCACAAGCCCGTGGGCATGCCGGATGGTGAAATGGCCAGTTCCTCAGGCCGGCGACTGCTAACGGAGGTGTGGCAGCTCCTTCCCGCTGTGCTACATTCCGTTTGTTGAATAGAGCGTCTCTAAGGCCTTTGCCGGACCTTTTGAACGGTCTGGCCCGCAGGTGATGATGAACTCGCAGTGAGACTTGGCGTAACAGTTGTACAACCATTTGAACACCTGCCTAGCAGACGCGCCATGTGCTATTCAGCAGGTGCATCAACTCAGGTACACATTCTATGAACATGTCCGGGACACGCGAATCCTATTGGTTTGCTGATGCAACATCAACTGCATTCGTGTCGAAGTTCTTGGAGAAACAGCTGCAACTTGGGTGTTCTGATTTTGATTTGTCATGACGCAGAGGCGGGCCGGTGGACAAATCAGCCAGAATCAGGTAGCGTGGCTCCTTTTCACTTCGATAGGCAACGCCGTTGTTCTCACGACACCCCCATGAATTGAATAGCAGATGTTTGGAATCCTGCCAGGCCCGACACATTTGATATGGCTGACGCTATGATAGCTGCAATGCACGGCTTGTCTCTCAACGAAGCAGCGGCCTACGAGTGCGCAACCGAACAGTTGCGTCGGACATTGACCGCGCCTTGCTTGCAATGATACCGACCTGATATGTGTGATATGTGGAATGCCATGCCATTCCACAAATTTCCGTGTCAGGCTGCAGCTTCCAAGCGCGATGACTTCTTGAGCATTGGATCGAGAATGCTTTCTGAGGCTCGAGCTTTGAAGCAAACCATCTTCACAAAGGGGGGCATTTTAAGTTCACAGCAGTTTCTTGACACAAGTGCAAGAAGTCCAAACAAAACCATGAGAAAGCAACAACAGTAGATTGCGCCAGCAGCGCTGCAACAGACTCCACACCCCAACCAGCACGCTGTAAAGCAAATGTATGACACCTGCCCCCTCTGCTTCAAGTTAGCTTGCAGCTATTCGGGGAACAAGAATTGGAGTTTGGGCAAAGTCAGAAACCCCCCCCACCCGCAATGATGTGTCATGACTTGCACATCACGTATCAGCAATCGAAGTCTATTCCCTGCAGGCAGTGTGGCCGGCGACAGCTTCACGCTATGTGAGCGTTGTGCCATGCACGCGGCTTTGCAAGAGGCATGTCAAGCGCGACATGTCGTGTCTTGGCCGGCGGCACCATGCACCAAGAGTCCAAGTTGACAGATTCATGGCCTGAGCCCTGCAAACGATATCTCACTGATGCAATGTTCACACAGGATCCGTGGCCCTGTGACCAGTGCAGTTGGAGTCGAGCTGCCGATCCGATTGCTTGGTACGTCCCCTCGCTCAATGCGCTGCGGTCTGGCATGTACATCTTGCTCCAGGATTGCACAGAGACTGCTTCGTGCTTGCTCAGCATCATCTTTTCCCAGCATCAGCCAACGAACAGGCAATTGCGCGTGGCTTAGATTCTGTGAGGTCCAAAAATGCATGAGCTCGATTGCAGTGTTGCTGGTAGTTGGCTATCTGAAAGTCCAAGTGGAAAAAAAGGTAGCCCTTGTGGATATTCACTATTAGGTTTGCAGGCTCCGTACATCGCTTTGGCAGTGAGCCCTTCGCACAGACCTCGGTTGGCACGAATGTCTCGCATCCATTTGCCCGTGGCTAGATCACTGGTGAAGCTCAGCTCACGAGCAGTGTTGGCATCGGACGCCTCTGGCAAGTTTTGGCTGCTTACTTGACAATTCTTTCGTCCATGACGCGATAAGAATTCAAGGCCAAGAATCACAGAACCCTGGGCAGATCTGACATGTGGAGGCAAACTAGCGAGTCCGCTGAATGTGCATCGATGGATATCCACGAAGCTGTTCAAGCAGCCTGCAGCAGAAGTTGCTAAGTGGAGTGCGGGGCATTCGTGATTCAACAAGGCCGTTGAGGCCTGTCATAGTAAAGCACCGGTGCCTTCTAAACGTGAGCCCTGCATCCGAGCTACGAGATGGCGATTGTGGCTGATGGCTGTCTCGGCCAGTTGGCAGGGGTGCATCATGCAGGCGCAACGTGACCAGCAACCCAAGCACGCGTCCCTAAAGAAGCATGCAAAGAAGGTTGCCCAGCGAAGCTTGCAACTAAAAGCGTAGCATGTGGCGAACTATGACTGTTTTTGCAGGTAATTCCTCATTCGGCCTAACATGCACCAAAGCAGAGGTCGCGCGAGTGAATGTCGAGCCAGCCGGTGGATGCGTGGCAAGATCATCCTTTTGTGCTTCTGAGCATTTCGAACTTCCCAAGGCCGTGTTGTCGGCTTTTTCTGGATTGTTGGCCTCTGCAGATTTTGAGCTTTTGCACGTTTTTGGTATGAACTCATGCCTCGTGCTGAATGACGGGTGCTGAAGCCACTTGTCACTGAAAGCTAACAAGTGAATCACCGGCTCAGTCCGCTTGATGATTCCCCAAGCCCCGAAGGCGCCACGGAGCTCATGGAGTGCCGCAATAATTAGCACAGCGGCTTGTGCTTCCATGCGTTGCACCAATTTCACATCAGTGCCTTGCAATTTGTGCCTTCGGGAGAAGCCTTGGCTTTGTAGGTCCCAAGCATCTATGTTTGAGCTTAGAGATTGCGATTGTGGCTGATGGCTATTTTGGCAAGTTGGCAGGGGTGCATCATGCAGGCGCAACGTGACCAGCAACCCAAGCACGCGTCCCTAAAGAAGCATGCAAAGAAGGTTGCCCAGCGAAGCTTGCAACTAAAAGCGTAGCATGTGGCGAACTATGACTGTTTTTGCAGGTAATTCCTCATTCGGCCTAACATGCACCAAAGCAGAGGTCGCGCGAGTGAATGTCGAGCCAGCCGGTGGATGCGTGGCAAGATCATCCTTTTGTGCTTCTGAGCATTTCGAACTTCCCAAGGCCGTGTTGTCGGCTTTTTCTGGATTGTTGGCCTCTGCAGATTTTGAGCTTGTGCACGTTTTTGGTATGAACTCATGCCTCGTGCTGAATGACGGGTGCTGAAGCCACTTGTCACTGAAAGCTAACAAGTGAATCACCGGCTCAGTCCGCTTGATGATTCCCCAAGCCCCGAAGGCGCCACGGAGCTCATGGAGTGCCGCAATAATTAGCACAGCGGCTTGTGCTTCCATGCGTTGCACCAATTTCACATCAGTGCCTTGCAATTTGCGCCTTCGGGAGAAGCCCTGGCTTTGTAGGTCCCAAGCATCTATGTTTGAGCTTAGAGATTGCGATTGTGGCTGATGGCTATTTTGGCAAGTTGGAAGGGGTGCATCATGCAGGCGCAACGTGACCAGCAACCCAAGCACGTGTCCCCAAAGAGGCATGCAAAGAAGGTTGCCGAGCGAAGCTTGCAACTGAAGTGTAGCATGTGGCGAACTATGACTGTTTTTGCAGGTAATTCCTCATTCAGCCTAGCATGCACCAAAGCAGAGGTGAAGTTCGAGCCAGCCAGTGGATTCGCGTTGCCTGTGGCAAGATCATCCTTTTGTGCTTCTGAGCATTTCGAACTTCCTAAATGGTGTGCTGGGCCCAGATCAAAGAGCAGATCCGAGGCCACGTTTTTGGCTTTTTTTGGATTGTTGGCCTCTGCAGATTTTGAGCTTTTGCACGTTTTTGGTCGGGACTTGTGTCTTTACTGGCAGATTGATGATTTGAGGAGTGCACATTGCCTGTCGCGTTGTCCTACGTGTCTTAGCTGCCTGTGTCGGAGAACTCTCGTTCCCAAATAAAGCCCAAGAAAGACACTTGAGAAGTACTGCTTGTTGTCAGGCATGTTCTGCAGATTCACGCTTGACATAAGGCTACCTGCATGACGCCGGTCTGCTTGCCATGAAGCGGGCTCGTGACGTGTTGCCCGTTGACACCTTGCAGAAAAGTGGCAACACGCGCCCCGAAGCCGAGCTGGAGTGCTGGGACGTGAGCTTGCTCTCCTCTGCTGGGCGGCCAGTGAAGCCGGGACGGCCCCTTGCATACATGCTGCAGCTGGGCGCGAGTTTGCAAGCACGTGCAAAGTGTTTCCTGTGTGGCAGACGGCAACACCCAGCCTGCAGTCACGAGCAGAGACGAGAGGACGCGCGGCACATGCACATCTTTCGCACTGAGCCCGTGTCAGCGCCAGCCTTGCATACCTGGCTTGCAACGCCCACCACGGTCATTCCTGTCAGGCCAGACACGGTTGCTGTGCTTGCCGTGCCATTTGCATTCCGAAGATTTTTGGCCCCAGTGAATTGCTTCAGTGATGAGAGGGCTCTCGACGACGTCGAATTGCTCACCTGAGCTTCAACCCCGCCTTTGAGACTGTCGTCACCTGCGATGAAATGGCCCGGGGGGAGGCACAGCCCGGGGGCATTGCCTCTGGCGCTTTAGTGCCCAGGCAATGTAAGCATTGCATCGAAGATGCATGGCTGCTGGTCTTGCACTCGATTTTGCGGGTGACCAGTCCTGAGGCGACGCTCACAAACGCGTGCCGGTGTTTGCAGCCCAAGGTGTGCTCTGTCTGCTCCGTGCACTGAAACTCGTTTTTGATGATCCGGTAGTGGATGCCGCTTGATGAGCAATCGGCGGCTGCAGAGCGAGTGGCAAGTCATGGGTTCCGACAAGAGATGCTCACCACGCCCGGACTTGGCCAGACGGACACAGCCACGCCTGAGAAAGGTCTTGTTTGAAGTCTGGAGCCACTTTGGCATCTCGCTGTGTTCCCCCTGGGGCCGCGTGCTCGCCTTTTGCAAATGTGGCAATGCACAGAGGTAATCTCGGCAAGATTGGAGCGCATGTAGCACCGTAGCACCCACGATTTGTGAACCAATTCCTGAGAGCGAGTTTGGACGCAAGTCAGACCAGGACCTGGACCTGGGCCAGTCAGACAAGTCAGACAGGTCAGACATGTGACAGACATGGCAGTTGCAACGTCAAGATGGAGGCATGCAAACTATGCAAGCCATGCAAACTATGCAACGTATCTGTGGCAACATCAAGAATTGCAATGAGCTCGCGGATGCGCCAAGCAACTGCATGCGCTCAAAGGCGCTTTCAGGTGAAGCTCGCCAGTTTGGCAAACCGTGTTTGCACGTGTCAGCCACTTCCAACTGACGGCCTTTCCATCAAGCTAGAGCGCTTTACGAAGCGCTTCACACCGGTTCAGGGGCAACAGGTATGCAAACTCTCATCCATCAACATTTCTGCCAGCTCTGGTTAGCTTGAGTAAAGCCGCACGAAGCGCTCGAAGTGAGCTCAGCAAGCTGAGTTTAAAGAAGTCTGCTTAAACTCACTAAAGCAGCAGGTTTGAATGCAATATGGAAAGTGCAATCCAGACATTTCATCGCTTGCACAGCTCCAGGTATGACACCCGTCTTGGTGCAACTGGTCCACCCTCCCCAGCCTGGTACGACCTTTGGGTACACAGGCCTCACGGTGAGGCGACAGACCCTTGTTGCGAGCCGGGCAGCCCTCGCCCGCGAGGCTCAGGTGGCCGAATCCGACCTTGCTGACCTGGCGTGACGGTCTCGACAGGTCCCAGACGAGTATGTCAATGTCCCCAGGTTGTGAACACCTGACGTTGAGACTACGGGGACTCTGGTGCCGGCCAAGGCCAAGGCCACGTGCGAGGACCGGGTCAAGCCAGCGGTGATATGGCTCAGCCAAGTAGCGTGTGCATCTGCGTGACGGCCACATCAGTCGCCCGCCGTACGTGCAGCGCAAGCAGCGCGTGCAGCGCGTGCAGCGCGTGCAGCGCAAGCAGCGCATGCAGCGCATGCAGTGCATGCAGCGTTGCGTGCTCCACTGTGGAGTGCAAGAAGCGGTGCCCATTCCAGGCGGCCCAGCTGAACTGCCGGTGCTGTCCTGACAGTCACGAACCTTATCAGGCTTACCAGACTTGCTTTGAGAGCTGGGCCAAGCCTGCCCTCGGCGGCCTTGGCAGCCTCGGCAGCCTCGGCAGCCTTGGCAGCCTCGACTGTACGATCCCAACATGGCATCATCACGATTCGAAGCTTGAACCTATCTTGATTAGAGATGACGGCCTCAGGCCGCCATTCTTTGCGCAGCTGGTGATAGCGCCTTGGCCGGTGCTGTCCGTGATTTGTGGCACCCGTCGGAACTTGCCTGTGACGTTCAGCGGCAGCCTGGCACAGGCCTAGTAGCTTCGGAAGCGTCGGAACGACCGGGATACGTCGCCTGCGTCCAGGCCCGCTGCGCCGCATCACCGGGCCCGTCATCGATAGCCTCGTGCGCCTTGGGCAAACCAAGTGCAGCTCTGCCCCAGCACATGCGTGACGGGGCTGTGCGTTGCGTGTGTGCCTGCCCGAAGCGGCCTGCATCCCAGCCCTATGGCTGGGCCCCTTTTCCTTTGTGCGACATGGCGGTATGTGAAGCTGCAAGTGGACCAGGTAGCAATGTTCCACTTGGCCACAGAACCGACAAGTCTTGAGTGTCCAAGCGGCCAGCAGTCGCTTGTGTGTAGCAAGTCAGCATGGGACATCCCGGTAATGCTTGTCAGAGGTTTGAGCCAAAGAAACTGCCAATGACGCTGCCTCGGGTGACAGGAATTCCAGCGGCATTGGACTTGAGGCACAGCTCAGATGCTCGTGCAGGCAGCCTGGCGCTTGTGCGCCAGAAAGGCCCCAGACAGCCTTGAAAAGATTGAAGTCCAAGGGTCCTGAGCCGGTGGTGCAAGAAGGTCAAGAAGGCGTGGCGCAGCCCAGCGCCTTGAGCTTGCTGGCCCTCGCAGCAAGGGCCCTGCTGGCCATCGTCACCTGCCCGTGAAGTTGCAGTGCCAAGCATGCCGCGCCAGCCGCGCCAGCCGCGCCAGCCGCGCCAGCCGCGGAGCCGGCCAAAGTTGTACCCACCAAGCCGCGCCAGCAACCGCCAGTAGCTTCGAAGCACCGCCAGTAGCTTCGAAGCTTTCCAAGTGATTCCGAGAGCATCGCTGGCCCTCGTGGGCCGCGCGCGGGCTGCGCAGACGCAGACGGCGCCCATGGCGTCAATGGCGCCGGTGGCGCCTATGGCGCCCGTGGCACGGGGCACCGTGGCACGTGCTGTCCTGGCTGCCCCTGCACTTCAGTGGCTGATGCTGCTGCGGCCGCGGCGGCCGCTGGTGACGTGGCCAAGGCTAAGGCCGCCAAGTCCGCGGCCTGCAGCGGGTGTGCGGGTTCTGGTGATGGCCAGTCCAGCCCGGTGCAGTCCAGCCGTCGGCCCCACAGGCTTGCAGAGCTTGCAGGGCTTGCAGGGCTTGCAGGGCTCGCAGGTGGCCTGACACCCCCGGTGCTGCCCGACCTACTGGCAAGCCTCAACTACTGGCACAAGGTGTCGGCCCTGTACTACTCAACGCGTCCCAACTCCCTGTGCTAGCCTGGACGCCTCCAAAGTTGCAGTTTCTGATTCCGACCTCAAAGTATGCTAGACCTCTGATGGAAACTTCAGTCTCTGCTCCAGGTGAGTCCCTCCCGACCTTTGCCGCGCCTGGTGTCCTTTGACCATGCCCCTTACACGTTCCAAGCCTGCCAAGTTGAGTGCCTTTCTCTCCGAGAACGCAAACGATGCAACTCTCTTGTTCCCGAGATGGATGCCAGGCCCAAGCGAGACGAGTGCCGCAGTGATCTGCTCTGCACGTGATTCTCCCGTTTGCCGACCTGCGGCAATCCGGCAATCACCCCGACCCACCCTTCTTCGTCTGCACTTGCCAGAGGGGTGAGGTGACCAGTCCCCCTCCGGCTGCACATCTCCATGCGCATGCGAGCGCAGGCTCTTGTGACAATGCGTGTCGCAGGCTGGCGAGATCCTTACGAAGCCAGCTGTTTGTGTTTGGCGTTTGAAGGGAAAAGGAGCTATTGGGCCTCCAAAGCCATGCTGAAACCCTTCTTGCACGCGTTTCAAGGCCACATGCTGGTTTGCCGAGGCGTTGCGTGCACCGAGCGAGCCGTCGGTCGCTACCCTGCCAAGAGCCGTGCGTGACTTGAGGCCAGCCTGAGGGCCAGGCGAACGGGTTGAGGAATCAGGGCGAGGCAAAGCGGCACATGAGATGAGGGTCCAGGCGATGTCCTGAGTCAGTGGCCTTGTCGAGTGTGCGTATCAGTGCGCCAAGCTGGGCAGAGCCATACATGTATGCACGTGCCAGCTCCCCAAGCCAAAGTGCCACATGTGGCCACACGTGTTTGCCGCGCGCTGTCAGCGGGAAGGCGGGAAGCGGACGCACCATGCGGACCATGCCCATGCTACAGGGACTGCATGGATGACCGCCCTCTGCTCAGCCCCCGATTGCCTCGGTGCGCGCGCGGGGACGGGCAGGTCTCGCGAGGCCCAGCGTCGCCCAGCCGGGGCCAGGGCCGCAAGGCCTTTGCCTGCAGGTCATGCAGAGCGTGCAGGACGCACAGGGCTTTGCAGTGTGCAGGGGAACAGCGGAGACTGGCGCACATGGCGCCTTCGCCGTGCCACACCCGCTCCAAATGTGAGGAATTGAATCTCTCGTGTTCGTGTGTTGCTTGAGTCGCGTCCCGTGTGTCCCACGTGTCACACGCGAGCGGGGGCTCGGTCTGAGGCTCGGGCTGCTCAGGCGACGCACGGGCTTGAAGGCTCGAGTTTCGTTCCAGATGCAAAACGTCTTGCGTAGTGTCGTGCAACGCCCCGCGCAACGCGTGCTCGCGCAGCCTTCCTCGAGCTTGGCTCGGACAACTTCAAAGACAGCAATCACAGCAGCACTCTTGATTTGCAGCAGAACCAATGCAGCTCGGGCCGCTTGGGTCGATCGTCATGCGAACAGGGAGAGCCAGATATCAAATTGCCAAGATCTGGGGTTGCTGAGCACGCGGCCGCTGAGCTCTCATTGGCCCCTGCGTGAACCCGTGATGCTCATTCTCCGGAGCGCGTGCCACAGCTCGAAGGCCAACAGGCCGAAGCGGCGGTGTTGCTTCATCAGATGACGGCGCATCAGAAGATTGAGCTCGACAGTGTGCATTGCGTGCTGAAAAAACCCGTGCCCACGCCACTGCCGCATGCGTCCTTGGCACAGGGTCGAAGACTGCGTGAGAGGAAACTCTGCAGACCTATGAGGCCCCTGAAGCCCGCACGCCTGCGTCATTGACACAATCCCACCGGACCCGTCGGATCCGTGGGAGTTATCGGACAGATCCTGTTCCGAAGCTGAAGGCGAAAGTTGGCAGAGTGGCCAAGGCTTGTGTGTCATGCAAAGTGCTTAGGCCCCAACCCTTGACATGCCCAGAATGCGAAGAAGCCCAAGATGCCCATTTGACGGGCAGCCTGGGTTTGTAGACACCGTTTTGCTCGTTTAAAGCATGCCTCACATGTGTTCATGAGCATGCCTTTGGTGAAGGGAATCAAGCTAAGGTTTGAGAATAGGATGCAGACTTGAGCACAAGATGCACCGAATGCCGCACAAAGTGCACAAAGTGCAATTGAGCGAAGACTAGTGGCAGCCGCATTCGGGCTTGCCTCGAGCACCTCTGGTTCCAGAACTCCCAAGATTGTGCAGCAAAAACTGATCGCCATAAAGGCGCATGTGAGGCAAGGGTGCTTGGGATCTTCCCAGGTTCTTGCATCTTTCAGGTCTTGCGACCCCGAGGACCTTGCCATTTAGTGTCTGGCAGAGGAGCCAGAACTTTCCAAATTCAGATACGACCTTGCCAAGGAGCGTTAAAGTGCACAGCAGGCCTCTCTGAGCCTTGTCTACGCTCTCGTGCTGCATGCTTCAGAAAATACAACTTCAGTTGAAGTCAGGTCCTTCTTGACTCTGCACATGAACCCCCTGCACCCGACCCAGAGTCAGGTGCTTGAGAGAAAGGCGTAAGGGTAGCTGTACGCACCCCGATTTCCCACACATCTGTTGTGCCAAAGTGCGCTGAAAGCAGTGCCCTGATATCATCACCTCACTATGTTGGGGCGCCATTTGAAAGCGTGACAGCGACAAGAGTTCTGGCTACACTTCCATCACATGGGGTGCAGATGTACTCCTGTCGGAGCTGCCCAATCATGCAGCTGACCGCCAGCCAACCAAGCGGACGAAAAGGGGTGCGAGAGTCGCGTGCAGTCGAAGTTGTTCAGGCATATTTTGGCATTCTGGACTGTTCTGCCGCTGTGACTGAGTGTCAGCCGAATTGCAGGGGCAACGTGTATGGATTTTCTACCCTTTTGGGACATTTTGGACAACGATTTCGGTCCTTCCGCCACAGCCGAGCAGCACCCGTTTCCAATGCCGCAACACTGGCTCGCTCAGCGCCACTAGCCAATTTTTTCTCCGGCAGCATGCGCGTGTTAACAAGTGAAAGGACATTTATTTGAACATCAACACCTTTTGTGGCTATTGTGTGTTTGCAATGGCCAACAAGGACAGCATGTGCATTCGCGCAGCTGGCCTGAGATGGTTGGCAAGAGTGAAATCGGTTGGAAGGCACCAAGGAGAGAGTCGTCTCCAATTCAATCGCTGGCTTGTGGCTGGGAACATGCTGAACTTGGCAGTAGCAAGTAGACTTGTTTTGTACGCACATAAGACTTGTGCCAAGACTCTGTTCATGCAAGTCAACGAGACATTTCACACTGACAAAACTGATGAAGCGGATGCTGAGGATGCCGCTGTCGATGGCTGCATTGCCTATATCACTTTCATGCGTCATTTGGATCACAAACTTGTCAAATATAACTGGCATTGGTTGGGGCTGCGATGGCTTTCTGGGAGCGAAGGGGGCTGCTGACAATGGGATCTGTGAGCGAAGGGTTTGGTCTACGCTGGCAATGCTGGTGATGGGGCTGGTGACGGTGATTAGTTTGCTTAGTTTGCTTGCCTTTTGTGCGTCTTGTGCATGTATTTGGGTTTTGGAGGGGAGGAGAGAAGGTTTCTTTTGTGCTGAAGAGATGAATGCCGAGGCGTTGCAGGTGATGAAACAGAAACCGGAGGAAACTCACCCGTTGGAACAATCTGCAACTGTGCAATCGTGTTTCTCGTGAAGCTGAGGCGCCTTCGCGAGGTGCGATGTTGCCAAGCCGCTTGGCCTTTGCACTGCAGGGATCAAGCTGCAAGTTGCATGAATTTGCATCTGAGGCGACGTATGCAGATCTGCACCAGAGTCCTACATACTTGGTAGTGCAACGACCTTCTCCTTCATTGCCCGGTGTCTTGCAAATTGTCTCC